TGATATGAATGCATTTCTTACTGGAAAAAATGTGACAAAAACATTTGAAATTCACTCATCTAACATCAACCTAACATTCTAAGTTAAAGTTTCAGATTCTATAAAAAGAAAAATTAATAAATTTACTTGTAAAGTTTAAAATTCTGCAAACTAAAGGAACTTCCAGATCAATGAAAAGGAGAATTAACCCTCTCCCAAAAAGGGAAAATACAATACTGGAAAAAAAGTTCTTTGGAATGTAGCCTCAGGCTTTTTCTCCATAACACCGCCAACTATTTTACCACAGTTTTATGCTCTTTGCTCCTAACCGTGAAATTCTCTGCTTTTCAGTAAGTTGGTTTGGATGGTTCCATTATCTCTCAAATTTCACCAGATATCTCAGGTTAGCTATTCACAACTGAATTTTGTTTATTAAGTTCTGTAACCACTTGAGGTAAGTCCTGTTTAAAGTGTATCGATATTCTAGACAGAAAGCTCTTCACTTTCTATGTATATATCAAATAAAGATTTCCTTTAAAATTTTCTAGTTCTTATCTCTAGCATTCCTGAACATTTTCACTATTCCTTACTGTTTCATGACCTGTTCTAATCATTCACTACTAAAGAATACTGACACTATCAAGAAACATCAACTCCTGAATACAAAGAAACATAACCAAACCAAACGGGAAGGGCATTTCTGAACAGCCAAAATACAACACATAAAACCCACATGCTGAGCTTCAGTTAAACAAGAATAGCCTGTTCCCTCCTCTCCTCTCCTTAAAAAAAAAAAATTTGCTAACAAATTTTTGATCTAGCTTTCCAACCCTCACCTGAAAACAGAGAGGAGCAGGGAACACAGCTCCAGAGGCCTGGCAAGTTCAAATGAGAGTAACAGAGGCTAAAAACAGAAACACTCAGGACACAGTTTCAGTGTGGGATGTTTTACAGACAGAGGAGTTGTCACAGTCCAGTGGTCCTGCAGGCGTCTGTGTGTTACAACAGAAGACCCTAAATTAACATTCACAATGACCTTGAAAATATCAAAGAAAGATTCTGTTACGCTGCATCTATGATTAAGTCTTTTAGAAAGACTTCTCATCACAAAGGTTGAAGTGAAATGTTTTACTCCTCTACAAGTAAGTTTCATGGAAAATCACCCCAGGATTCCACTCCCTGCAAATGCTGGGATGTTGGTGTCTGCAAACTTCAGAAGGACCACAGGACATGCTTTGCTCCACCTTCCCAGAGCACGTCAGCTCCCTCCCTACCCCGGCTCTTTAGGAAGACCAGCACCAACTATTCTGTCCTCAACAGTATTGCTCTGTGTGTGTGTGTGTGTGTGTGCGCGCGCGCATGTGTGCAGGTAGTCATGTACAACTCTTTTTGACCCCATGGACTGTAGCCTGCTTGCCAGGTTCCTCTTGTCCATGGTATTCTCCATGACAAGAATACTGGAGTGGTTTGCCATTTTCTACTCCAGGGGATCTTCCTGAGCCAGGGATCAAACCCAGGTCCGCTTCTCCAGTATTGGAAGGTGAATTCTTTACCACTGCGCCACCTTCTTTACCACAGCTTGCTCCTTTCAAATATGGTACTCATTTTGGCTATCTCAAAATTAATTCCTAATATCCTAATCACATTTCTTGATAATACAACCGTTAAATAACAGCCATTCTTTCAAAATTAGTTACACCCACGACTCAGGTACTCCTAAATTCAATTTACCTGATCTCTGAGCAAAAGCAGGTGGAAATATTGCACCCAAGTAGACACTGGCTCTCCAAGCTACAACTTTCATCACCTTTAATTTCTAGTGGCTTTAGCAGATATAACCAACAATAGCAGAAACATCTGGAAATCTACCTTTACTAAATGCTACAGAACTACAGGTAAATCTCTGTGTGGACTAAGCAAACAGCAGCTTCCTAGCAAAACGCTAGTGTTCTGTATCAAGAATGATTAGAGGGTGTTTGACAAAAATTCTAGGGGCTTCCCTGGCAGTCCAGTGGCTAAGACTTCACACTCCAACGCAAGGAGTTGGGGACTTCTCCAGGTTAGGGAATTAAGCTCTCACATGCTGCAACTAACCCACATGCAACAATGAGGACCCAGTGCAGTCAAAATAAATAATTAAGTTTTTCAAAAAGAATGAAAAAAATATCTAGCTGCTGCACTGAAGGTGCCAAGAACACAGGAGAGGAAAATCCTCTTGGAACCTGAGCATCTCACTTGAGAGTGAGGTGGACACATTTTCACTGATCCTGAGCTGGTATCCTGGTTTGAGAGGAGCACCGCTGGTCTCTGTAACAGTTTCTCCTCTGTCCTGTTACAACCTGGTATTTTGACACTGGGGAGGGAGAACTGTTCACTTTTCCTTCAGTGCTTACTCGCCACCCCGACTTCCCGCCTCCTGCAGCCTGAAGCTCTATGCCCAGGAGGAGCAAGAAGCCTGGGGATCTTCCTTCTTAGTTCTGATCAATTCCTCCACCAAAAACTAATTAGGTCTTTGCTCATCTATTACATTTGGGTTGGTCTGCTCTTCTGCAGACAGTGCAGATCACTCAGGCCCCTCATCCTAACCAAGTGTCCCATGGACTAAAGACCACCTGGTGCCTTCTGGACAGCAGGCCACAGATCCCTCCTCTGTCCACAGGCTTCTCTGGTGATGGTTCTAAGCCCCAGCACCCTATACAGATGGTACTGCCATTCAGAGTTTAAGCAGTTAACCATCAAAATCTTTATCGTGTTAAATCAGCAACACACACAGCTGCTTTCCTGAGAGAGGGAAATTTGACTGGCAAGTGACTCCCCACATCCTGCAAACAGCCTGGAACTCCAGAAGTCTGCCTGAACTCTTGTGAAGAAAATGCCAGCAAAGGCTCCAGATGGTAGAGAATAGAAAAGTCAACTTAAGCACCAACCATTCTTACTGTGGCTGCCTCACAGTCCTGTTTTTGCAATGCCAACCAAGACAGTAAGAATGATACAGGATTTCCTGGTGGTCCAGTGGTTAAGAATCTACCTGCCAATGAGGGGGACACGGGTTCGACTCCTGTCCAGGAAGATCTCACATGCCATGGAGCAACTAAACCCCTACACCACAACTACTGAACCTGCACACTTAAAACCTCCACAGGAGAAACCAGCACAGTGAAAAGCCCTTGCTCACCGCAACTCGAAAAAGCCTGCCCACAGCAATCAAGAGCCAGCGCAACCTAAGTAAATAAACAAATGGTAAATCTTAGAAAAAGAATGGTACAGAGAATGAATTATAAACACACATGATCAGAACATCTTAGAACACGAGGAGTCAAAAGAAAAGAAAATCTCTTTCTCTCCAGAGGGGAGCGGGGTGGAGAGACAAGTCAGCTACCAAAAAACATAAGAACCAAACTGACAAGACTGCTCCCCTTTAATGAAGGTGCTAGAAGACAATAGAGAACTACTAGTCTTTGAAGGAAATTATTGTGACCTGGAATGCAATACCCATCCAAACTACAAGTATGAGGGCAAAATAAAAATAATTTTAGACACGGTGGGGCTTAAAAAATTTACAACCCATTGTCTTTTTCTGCAAAACTAACACGAGGGTATACTCTGGTAAAAGAGGAAATAAACCCCAAAGGAAGGAAGGTGTTGGATACAAGTAACAGTAATAAAAACTACAGTTGTCTTATCTGTTAATGCATGATATTTTCAAAAATCGTTTAAAAAAAAAAACCTGCAACATTTTAAACTCAGGTAACAGAAAAAGCTGTAAAACAGATGAAAACACTCAAAGTTTCCCATGCAAATATAAGTTAAACAACATATAATACAAGTTTGGAAAAGAGCTAATACCCAGTGTTGGAGAAGATGCCTTGCTATAGGCGGTTTGGTTCCCAGCTAATGGGAATATAAATTGCTTAAGCCTTTTTGGACAGTAATTTGGCAATATCACGTAACATTTTAAATATGCACACGCTGTGAACCATAATTCTAAAATTTTAATTCTGTCATTCTAAATAAATGCCATGCATGGTCACAAAGATTAAATACTCACCCATTAAACAGCACTGTAATGACCAGAGCAAAAAAAAAAAAACACCACCAAAACAACCCCCAAACCGCCAATCAAACCAAACCCTCGGAAATCATCTTTATTATAAAGTCCGCCAACAGCACAACGTTAAGTAAACGATACGTAGTCCGTAACACAGACTACTACGTGGCCTTTGTAAAGTCGTAAACTGATACATACAAACAGAAAACTATATAAGCCATCCTGAGCTTTAAGAAAAAAAAAAAATCTGTAGCACAAAGCATAAACGGTTTAGGCCTTTTTACGTAAAAATCGTTAGATGTGTATATTTATATGTGTGTAACTGAGTGTGCAGAACCAGGAAGGAACGCCGTGACTTCCGAATGGGGAGTGAGAGAAGGGACTGCGGTCATGGGTTTTTTTCCCAGCATTGATTTGAGCACCTCCCAATTTCAAGCCCTGGGTTACGGAGGTCAACAACCCAGAGTCCGGGGCTGCGCGAGGGCCCGGGGCCAGGTCTCTGGTTCGCTGCCGCGCGCCGGGCCGAGCAGGCCCTCAGGTGTGTCGAAGGCACAAGCGACCATTCCACTTGGGGGAGGGGAGGAACCGAGCGCAGCCAAGGGGCTGAGGTAATCCCCCGAGTGAAGCCTGTTGCCAGCGCTTGGTTTCAACTCCCCGAAACTGCCGACGGCCCCTCCGCCTCAACCTGGCCTGACCAGCTCGCTGGGGAGCAGCCTCTAGTGCAGGCAGTCACTGGGTGCAAACATTCGCACCCACCGCGATCAGCGTGAAAAGGCGGCTCCGGGGCAGAAGTAGTTAACATCTTCGGGGTCTTTGTCCCTGGCCTCTGGTCCAGACCGCTGGAAGTCAGTCTCTTCCAACCAAGTCAGGCCAGATAGCTTAAAAGAGTGAAAAAGGAGAATTTCAGGCTTGGCTTGCTTACACCAAAACTCTGGAGCCAAGGCCCACCAGCAAAACTGGGCTTATGCATTCATTACAATTATCTTGCCCTTCTGGAGGTGAGTTTGGTTGCGGATTCGGACCGTCAACGTCACAGAGCTCCAAGCCACGTAAAACGCGGATTCTCTGGCAACGCCTGAAGTGGGGTCAGGCAGCCCCCTGATGACTGAGGTACACTGAAGACTGACTGCCACAAACGAGTGGCAAATAACTGCACAGAAACGAGTTGAGATTGTGACAGGATCTGTAAAGGACAGGAGCCGGGAGAGTGTCCTCCAGTGGGGCCTGGACGTAGCTGAGGCCGCGCGGGAGGGTATGTGACAGGGAATACTTACACAAGGAAGGTGTCAAGCATGATCGCCAGTTCCAGGCTTAAGCAGCTGAGAACGGGAACCTTGAAGAGGTGGGCCCATCTGGATGGAAGAGCCGGAGGTTGCTCACCTGGAGACTCCAGCAGCCTCCTCAGAGACCTCCCCCCCCCCCGCCCCGCCCCCATTCTCTGCACAGCCGCTGACGGTAGTCTCCTCAATCAGGGCACTTCAGGGATTACCCTACACATAATCAATTCCAAATTCCTCCCTCAGCCTCAGTCCTGCATAACCTGACCCCTGCGTGATCCCTCCCTCACTACACTCCAGACACAGAGACCGAGGTGTCTCAGCCTCACATTTCATGTGTTGTTCACTCCATTCAGGAAACCGTCTCTGGTAAGTGCTGACACATTGGTCGATGGGGCAATAGATCTAGCCTGGGGAGCCCTCTTATTACTGAAAGAGGAAGTGGTGTTTAGCAAAGGGAGGAGGGAAACCTAGGCTTCAGTTGGTGGTGGAGGTGGGGTGAGGGAGCGTGGGCCAACCTCTGCCAAGACAGGTGGGACCCAGGGCAAAGTTATCGGGTTCCAGACACACCTACCAGGGCCCTCTGTTCTCTCTTGGCCTGTGGCCTTCAGAGACATACCCTCAGTCACATATCTTTGTGATACTGAGTCCCCTGGTAACCCAGGGAACTGTGGCTTTTTAAAGTGCTCAGGAATCCAAGCCAGTCTTGAGGAGGTCATGATCAGATTTCAGGCCCTATGCGAATAAGAAAAATGGAAGAAGGGAAAGGATGAGTAGAGACAGGAGTACTTGAGTTGAGTTGATGGAGACCGGTGGGGAGTTGCTTGGGGAGAGCAGAGAGAGAAATGGAGGGAGTGGTAGGCAGAGGGAGACCCCTCAATCTCTCTCCATCATTGTGGCCACTGTGAGGCTGCTCATTCCTTTTGCAGAAGTCACTACCTTCTTCCCCTAGGGGTAAGCTGAGGGCCATGAAAAATGCCCACTGCATTTTTATGCAATACAAGAGCCAGAAGGTGAGAGCAACCCAAGTGTCCATTGATGGAGGAATGGGTAAACAAAACATGTTCTATACGCACAGTGGAATATTATTCAGACAAGAAGGAAATTCTGACATACATTCTCATCCCCCAGTAAGAATCAAGATGCTAGCAAGATCCTGGATAATCTGTCCGCACGCATGTTAAGCTTGAGAAGGAAGCACTGTCCCTCAGGACACACGGCAGTAGAGGATCGTGTGCTTCCTCAACAGTGGAACGGCCTGCGATCCTCAACCTGACGGAGAGACCAACTGGACCCGTCTTTGAGCCCAGCACCTTCCTTCAGGACTTGCCTCACTTGTCGCTGCTCAGGAGCCAATCAATAAACATTTCCTGGGTGGACAGATCTGGTGCTTCTCTGAACATCAGCTGGAGGCAGCAGGTGTGCTCGTTCCCAGGGGAAAGGGGCCTCGGCTCAGTGCCACTCACTGCCCTCTTCCCCCACGAGGACCCCTCCTCCTCGCCCAGGAAACCACAGCTCAGAACTCAAGTGTCTGGAGGGCGGGGAACAGTGAGAAGCGGCCCCCCAGGAACCCGAGAGTCCCCTGTACTCTTGTGGGTGGAGACCTCACTCTCACGGGTGGTCCCGTTTCTGGCGGCCGAGCTCCCGGCAGCTGAGTGCCTCCTGAGTGGCCCCGGGCCCCCTGCTCTTTTCTCTACATCTTGGCTTTGGGAGCACAGCTGCGGCGCTGGCGTCTGGTCCCCAGCATTCTCCCTCTCCCTGCAGAGGCATGAGGCAGCCCTCCGTCTTCTGTGGCCCCTACCCCATGCCCAGATGTGAGGGGGCCTGCCTGGGCTCAGAGCGGACCCCACATGGCCCTTGCCATCCTTCCCGGGAGGCCCCTCTCTGGACAGTGAATGAATTGTGGGACGCGGGATCCTCACCTCCCTTGTAACATTCCCTAAACATCACCACCTCCTTCAACCCTTTATTGGATCCATGTCACTGATCTGCTTATATATCACCATTATAAAGTTTAGAAGCCATGGGGACCCATGATCAGACATTAAACCCCTTTCCACACCTAAGCGCTCTCTAGGCATCAGGTGGGAAGTGGGTTGGGGTCATCTACACCAGGAGCTGGAAGCTGTGGCCACTACTGTTGACCGACACTGTCACCATTTCTTCTCTGGTGCCAAAGTAGCCACATGGTCCTTTATGAGGACCTGTGACCACCTACCACTGTCAGTGATGTTCAAGAGGCTACCTGGTACTGCAGAGCCCCCATGTCGCCAGGGTACCCGAGTGGGCTCACAGCGAACCTTTGGAATAGGAGTGGGGGCCACGGGACGATTCTTAAGGCTGGAGGAAAAGTTCCCTTCCAACAGAAGGCGCGAGTCTGACTGGGGCTCACGTCCGCCCTGGGTGCTCATGAATTCAGGCCAGATGCTGCCTCTGTTCCCCCCCCTTACAGAGGGGTGGACACACATCTAAACAGCACTTGTTACCTAGCGTTGCTATCTCTCATGAGGCTGGGAAGGCAGAGGGACTTGCTCACAGCCAAGGGAAGTCCCACCCCGAGGTCTCTTCCTGATCCCCTGACACCTGAACCACTTCCTCAGGGTGTTCTGTCAGTGCCCTTTGAATCCTTCAGTTTAGTGAAGTAATTTCAGTCACAACATACTCACTGGATCCAAGTCCATCCTCTGTATAGAGGTGAGAGCTCCTTGAAGGCACCACTTGCACCATCAGCTCGTCAGTTTCTCAGCCTCGTCTGTGTCAGCCTGGGTGCTACACTCACGTTACCCGTTACCTGTGCTCTTGACTCTGAGTAACAAAGTGTGGCTTCGTGACCCCAGGTGGACGCTGACCCCAGCCCCACCTGCCCCTGCATATACACACAACAGTGTCTACTTGCCAGCACAGGCCTTGGGTCAAGGACTTCCTGTCTCCCTCCTGGCTGCCACCCACACTCAGTTTTGCTTTTTTCAGGGTAGCTCTCTGGCCATGCTGCCCAGCTTGCAGTTTCTTAGTTCCCTGACCAGGGATCAAACCTGTGCCCCCGCAGTGGACATGGGGAGTCCTAACCACTGACCAGGTAATTGCCAAAAGTAGCTTATTTTCTCATGTAGTTCTAAAAGCATATTTTGGTTCAAATAAAATCTTTGGTTCCACTTAACAGCAATCAAAAGAAAGTTACATGTCTTCAGCCTGAGATATTAGAAGGCTCTTCACCTTTTGTTACCCAGACATTGCAGCCAACTCCTGTTTTTAACATGCTAAATTCTCAAAAACATATAAACATATGACTAAACAAAATCAACTGAACCTCTTTATCATGACTTGGCTGCTAAACTAATTCTAAGGGTCATTAGCCAACTGGAACCATCTTTGAATCCAAGCAGTTTTACCAGCTTTTATTATAAACACCAGCACATTTCAAGTTTCCTCTTTTTGATCACAAATATAGGGCTTTTATCTTCTTTTAAGCAGACAGCACGTGAGATACTGTGTCAGTGCTTTCCGGCTCACACAGAAACTTCCTTGCGTCAAGTGCCGGGTTAGCATCTGGACCACACCCTTGGCCGCATCCTTCGGCAACAAGATTGCACGGGACTTCCAAGAGGATGAGGTTGGTACAGAGCTTTGGACTCCAGGATGACCTAAAAGAGACTCCCCACTGGCCAGGTTAAAGGGCTGTGATCTGGAGTGTGGGCCTGAAGCTGCTTCTCCAGGGCCCAGAAGGCCCACACTTCTTGTGTGAACAGACTCAGCCCAGGGTGCTCTCTTCAGTGCAGAAGGCAGCCAGGAAGAGGGGCTGGAGCAGGGATGGCACGTGGCCTTGGGTTTGGCCTTGTTTCTCTTTGGTGATGGGTGGGGCTGGATGGTGGCGAAGATGGTGGTCTTAAGTCTTACCTGACTAGATCTACAATGTTAGAACAAGATTCAAAGCTCTGTATCACAACTCATTTCAAATTTAGACTCTCAACTCACATTTTGGAAATATTTCTTTGAATTCAGGGCCAAAAGGAGAGATATTTGGGCCATGATTTCCAAGTTGAACATCACGACCCTTGACCTAGACCCCGGTGGTTGGGGGCTGAGGGAATGGGAGGCAGGACTCTACTTGCCTGTGCCCTGGGAGGGACTATGCAGACCAGAGGAGGAACTTCAGCTCTCCCGCCGGTGGTCCTCTTCTGAGATGTCATTTCTACAGCGCTCAGGACCTTGCATGTCACCCCCTCAGTAAGGACCCCTGGAACCGGAGCAGAAACAGGGGAAGGACGGCGTAGTGGCCAAGTGCAAGCGTCGCTCTAAGCTGGAGGCCTCTTCTCATCACGGCGGGGCTGGCAGGCCGTGCTCTGCACCGTGCCCCTGGCAGCCCCCAGAACAGCCCCTCAGGTGGGCAAGGGAGGGCTGGTGCCGCATCTGCCCAGCCCAGCCCAGGGGGCCGTGATGGCGTCCTCCCTTGCTGAGCCAGGGTGAGGAGTGGGCCGCGGACTCCCTCTAGTCCCCAGGACACCCTCTGCAGGAACTCTGGGACTGGCAGGTAGGAACGGGGGTCCGGTGGGGGTGGGGGTGGCTAGGACGGGGAGTGGAAGGGAGACAAAGTGCTGCTTCAGGCCCGCTGCTGCCCCCGGCTCTGGCTGAGGGTCTTCCGCTGGCAGCCAAGCAGGACCTTCGCAGCCCTGGCCGAGCCCAGCTGCCCCCCCACCACAGCCGGAAGGACCACAGCCCCCGCCTCTCCGTGAGCAAACAGTCAGAACCATGTCTTACAAAGAACAGACTCCAAAAATATATATAAATAAATAAAAACCTTAAACATTCTTACAGGGATCTTAAAGAACAGAATACATGTTAAAAACCTCAGTAATTTATATCAATTTTAAGCGGTACTTTATATACAATGGGGGGAAAAAAAAACACATGCATAGTCCAAATACAATGTTGAAAACAGCATTTTCATAACAAAAGACCCCGAACACGAAGTGTTAATACCATGTACATGAATTCAAGGACCACCCTTCTTTTTGTCTGTTGCACACAGTTTATTTAACAATATGATATAAGAAATGAGTTGGTGCTTTACCATTCTATACAGTGATTGGATCTTCTTGAATTTTCTTATTTATAGTAATTATAGCGCTTGCATGATTTACACGAGAATTGCTTTTCCTCATTTCAAGTTTCACATAGAAGAAAGAAAAGAATGCTTCTTCTCTATTAACATTAGCATGGTCTAAGAGAGTGATCATCCCTATTTTTTGTCTAAAACCAGTTTTATCAGAGAAACAAAGCAACAATTTCTACATCTGCAAGACAAGAGTTTGGCTTAAGCCAGTATGTATAGATAGACGTGTGTGTGGGTGTGTACGTGTGTGCACGCAGGAGCCAATCCCTAGCGTCCAGGATAATACTTGGAGACGCCCACAGAGTTCACTATAGAAAAAATCTTCCCGCAACATCTGAAAGTTACCGGGATACATTATAAGCTTGCATTATTTCAGGAATCAGTTTCTGAATATTATTTTTTTTCTTCTCACTTTTAAACATAAATGTTTAAAGTCTTGAAAATACAAATAAAAAATATGAATATAATGAACTTGTTTTTCCCATTTAAAAAAAGGCATGAGTCACCAGCAATGACGACAAAAGAATCCAAACAAAACCCCCCTCCCCCCAAAACAAAAAACAAAAACGAAAAAACAAAAACAAAAAGAGAGAAGAGAGAGAGAGACCAGATATTTAAATCAACTGGTTTTTAACAAAAAAATATATTCTTTGTATTGTTTCTTTAAACAGCAATCTACCCTTCCATGGCTTGGAAGTAGCAGTTCCATCTAGGAATAAAAAGAGCCCAGATGCCTGGATTTCAGTACAAAAGGTCCAAGAACATGAAAGGGGGAAAAAAAAAAGGGATGCTCTCACAATGCTACAAACCCTCCACAAACTTTTCTAGGGTGTCTCCCGTGGTGTCGCCGACCAGGGACAGCTCACTGGACAACGCACTCCTGTTAGGGGTGTTCAGCTGCGGGAGCATTGCACTCTGTTCGGGGTTCCCCAAGTGTCCCTGATCTATGGAGCTGGCCATGGTGACTGCGAGTCCTGGGTGGGGGGAACCAGTCTGGGGCGAGACGTGGTGCGGTGAAGGCTGGGGCTGTATCCGTGGCGACGGGCTGGAATGTGGAGGCTGGGACTGGGGCCGCGGAGACTGGACAGGGGCCGGAGACCGCACCTGGCTACTGAGGGACGTGGCCATCTGCTGGCCGGGGAGGTGCGAGGCCTGAGGCTGTCCTGAGAGCATGTGCTGCTGGGGGCTCATGGGGTTCGGCTGGCCCGGGGACCCCATCTGCTGCTTCATCTGCTGCTGCTGCAGAATCCGCTGCTGCAGGGCCTGCTGGATGTTGGGGGTGCTGTCTGCGCCCAGCCCGGGCTGCCCCATCTGGCCGAGCTGCCCCATCTGAGCCGCCATCGGGCCCATGGCGCTGCCCTGCATGGGGAGGTGCTGCTGCATCCGCTGCTGTGGCATGGCAGGGGGGTAGCCCGTGGGGCCCGGGGGCTGCTGGAACTGGCCGTGCCCTGCCATGCCCCCAGCCATGCCGGCGCTGCCCTGCTGCTGCTGCTGCTGCTGCTGCTGTTGTTGCTGCTGCTGCTGCAGGAGCTGCCTCCTCAGCATCTCTCGGTACTGCGGGTTCATACTCGCCATGCTGGGGTTGTGGCCCGGGCTCATGATGTTCAGGGCCTGGCCCTGGGGGTTCAGGCCGCCCATGGCCTGCTGCTGCGGAGGCACGCCAGGCCGTGGCCCGCCGGCTTGCATGGCATTCAGGTTCTGCAGGCCAGGCTGCTGGTGCAGGCCGGGCTGGGCCTGGAGGCCGGGCTGTGGCTGCAGGCCGGGCTGGCTGGCCACATACTTGGCTGTGCGCTGTTTGATGAAAGCTGCCATCAGCTGAGGGTTGGACTTGAGAATGTTGAGCACCTGCTGCTGCTGCTGCGGGGAGCTGGGCGACTTCAGGGTCCGCAGCAGGTCCTGGAGGGCGCCGGGTGAGATGCTCCGGGGCGGCTGCACGCTGGACATCCGCGGCCCGGCCACGGCCGGCTGGGCCTGCATGGACATCACAGGCCGGGGCATGCCCGGCATTGGCTGCTGCTGGGGGATGGGTGCCTGCTGCCACTGCCCGGCCGGCAGGGTGGGCACGACGGGTCCGCTGACCTGGCCGGGCCGGGGCACGTTCAGGCCCACGGGGGCCATCTGGCTCACCGGGGTCACCATGCCCGTGCGCCCCGGGGGCATGCCGTTGTTGATGTTCACCCGGTACAGGTGCTGCTGCTGCTGGGCCTCCCGCTCGATCTGCCGGGCTGCCTCCACTGCCGCTGGTGGGGGCTGGGCGGGGGGTGGCGGGGCCGGCACCTGGTTGGTGGGCTTCCCGGTGGACACCGTCGTGGGTGGCTGAGTCCGGGCCACGCTGGGGAAGCCGGCTGGTGACATGCTCACGGGCGAGGGCTGGGGCTGGGCGGGGGGCTGCGGCGTCTGGGGCGTGCTGGGCTGCTGCGTGGGGGTCCCGGGCGGCGCTGAGGTAGGGGAAGGCAGGCTCTGCTGAGGCACGTTGCGGGTGTTCATGGTGGCCATCCGCCGGCGCATGAGCTGGGCCTGCTGCAGGCGGTGCTGGATCTGCTGCTGGCGGAGCTTGTGTTTGATGTTGAGGCAGAAGGGCACGGGGCACTTGTTTTCTTGGCAGTGTTTGGCGTGGTAGCAGCAGAGAGCAATGAGCTGCTTGCACACCGGGCAGCCGCCGTTGGTCTTGCGCTTGCAGCCCTTAGTGTGCTGCACCACCCGCTTCATCTTCTGGCAGGACGGCAGCGAGCAGTTGGCGTTGCGGCACTGGCAGGCATGCACCAGCGACTGGATGCAGCGCTGGATGCTCAGGCGCCGTGACTCCTGGGGGCTCTTGGACTGCGGCTCACCCTGGCTGCCGCCCTCGTCGTCCAGGCCCAGCCCCCACTTCACCATCTTGTGGGTGTGGCTCTTCGTGTTGTAGCAGTTGATGCAGAGGTCGTAGTCCTGCGGGCGAGGATGGGGGACGAGTCAGCACGCAGCCGCAACCAGCAGCCCCCGCACCCAGTCCCTCAAGAGGCCCAAAGATGCTGAACACGTCTGCTCCCCAGAGCCTCCCTTCCAGGAACACCTGCACCCCAGAAAGCTCCGGAGGCCATTGCCGTAGCCACTCTCTTCTGGAGGCCCCTATGCCCCTCTCAAGCTGCTGGCCCATGCCGTGGGGGACTCCCCGAGTGCCCCTGAGGTGTCCCCAGAGCTCTGCAGTGCAACTTGGGGGCACTGGGGCTGAGGCCTCCACAAGAGGAAGGCTCCCGGCATCCTCAGCCTCCTGGCAAGGGCAGAGCTGGGGGCACCACAAGTGTAACCAGGACCTGCTGTGCTCTCCCGTCTGGGTCCCCGCCCAGCGCGGAGAGGCCTGCGCACGTCCGAGACACTGGGCTGGTGCTAATGAAATGGAGAATAAAACAACACGGTGCCCTGTGAGCATCTCCCCACCCTGGAAAGGTCGGCACAAACACAGTCCCCCAGGGAAGCACACAGACTGCCCCCCACCACGAGGACGTGTGGCCTGGACTAGGCCCCAGGCTGAACCGTGAGGGGACCTCGGCAGGGGCACACGGCAGGAACCCCCCCCCTCCCCATCCAGGCCTCTGGTGTGAACCCAAAACAATCTCAAAACCAACGATGGACCAGTGCACCTGGTCTTTCTCTCCCTGGAAAAAGCTGGCTACGAGTCCCCTGCAGCACGCCGCAGCCCGGGAGCACTCACCTCACACACGGTGCAGTGCCAGCGCGTCTCCACGTGGTGCTTGCACTCGTTGCAGGTGTAGACGAAGCGGTCCTGACCCTGGGTGTGCAGCTCCACCAGCATGCACAGCGTGGACCACTTGGAGCGCCGCAAGGAGGAGAACTCCCAATGCTTGTCCCGGGCCAGTGTGAGGAAGGCATCCCGCCCGTCCATGAGGTCACAGCTGAGCAGGGGGTCGGGGTCGACGATGGGGGGCAGCGTGTTGATGACGGGCCCAGCATGGAGGTGGATCACAAAGAAGACCTGGGGGTGCAGGGAGGAGCCACGTCAGCCCCATGAAGAGAAGGACCGAGCCCTCCTGCTGCTGTCCCAAGGGCTGAGCTCGGCTGTGGCCAGCTCCTTGCTCGGTGGCCAGCACCCCGCCCTGCCGGCCCTCACCTCTTTGTGCTTCTCCATGGTGGCGTAGAGTTTCTGGGACAGGTCGTTGGACACATTGGGCATGCTGGGTTTCTTCTTGTTGGCGCGGCTGATGCTGCTTTTATTCTTGTTGGTTTTCTTGTTGTTCTTTTTCTTGGCGTTCTTGCTGTCGCCCTGGCTACCCTGCAATAAGATGCATGGTTGTTGGCCCCACCCTGCCTCTTGCTCCACGCTCGGCAGGCGCCAGGGCGCCAGCTCCTGGCCGCAGGGGCTCCAGGGAGCCGGGCTGAGGCAGGTGACAGCCAAGTGGACTGCAACCTGCCTACTCACAGGCCATGAACACTGCTGCCTTCAGAGTTAAGTGCTGAGAGAAAGTTGATGTGGGTGGTCGTGGGCCTGGGCTTGGTCAGGAGGACCCAATGGGCATGGTGGTGACCAGTGCAATCTCCCAGCACCTCCAGCCCTAAATCACCTGATCTTCCAGGCCC